CCCCTCCATGACGCCACGAACACCTACTGCCGCACCCACACATGCCGTGACTCACATCTCTCCCACCACACATGCCATGCCATGAGAATTGAGAACCCAGCCCACCTGGTTGGCCCTGCGCACGGGCCTCGGCCCATGGTACTTGATGACGCCCGTCCATGATGCGACGAACACCCCACACATGAACTCAACCAGCCCTCGCTGCGATGGGGGCGTGGGAAGGGGGAGCGGATGGGGATGCGGGGTTTGCGGATGAGGATGGGAGGGAGGGGTGCTGAGGTGCCAGGATGGTACTTAATTGGTGCCGCCCGTCCACGATGCCACAAACACGCCACACATGAACTCCACCTGCCCTCGCTGTGATGGGGATGAGGATGGGAGGAGGGTGAGAATGGGTGCAAGAGTAACAGGAAAGAAAAGAACGGAAAGAAAGAAAGAAAATAAGAAAAAACACACACACACACACTCACACACAAACTCACACACACAAAAGCATGCAGATAGCATTACCTCTAGGCTGCGACGCAGCTTGTCGTATGCAGCAAAGATGAAGTGGATGGGGATGAAGAGCGAGAGGAAGATGACCCAGCCCAGCAGCAGCAACACCAGCCTGGCGTGTGGATGGGGGGAGGAAAGGGACAGCATGGGAGGGGGTGAGGGTGAGACGAAGTGGATGGAGAGAGAACGAAGTAAGATGACCCACCCCCCAGCAGCAGCAGCACCAGCCTGGCGTGCAAATGGGGGGAGGAAAGGGACATGCATGGGAGGCGCGAGGGTGCGGTGAAATGAATGGGGACGAAGAGGGTGGAGAAATCACCCACCCCAGCACGTGTAATGAGGTTATTTGTGAGACGAAGGGTTTTGAGACGTCTCAAAACCCTTCTTCAAGCACGTGTAATGAGATTATTTGTGAGACGTCTCAAAGATAGCCTCATTACGAATGGGGACGAAGAGGGTGGAGAGATCACCCACGCCGGCAGCAGCAGCACCAGCACCAGCATGGCGTGCGGAAGGGGAGATGTGTGTGAAGGATCTGTTGAGAATTCTCAAAAAACAGATTCGGGATGATAGCGATACGTCAAAGGTAAAAGTTGGGTTTTGAGATGTCTCAAAACCCAACTTTTATCACGCGGATGATAAGCGTATGCCAAAGCACGAGAGGGGGAAGAGCACGAGAGGGGGAAGAGCATGAGACGGCTCCAACAGCAGGCGAGAGCAGAGAGGCACGTGACTGTGTATCTGATAGGAAGCATTGCGAGCTCACTGGAAGCATTGCGAGCTCACTGGAAGCATTGCGAGCTCACTGGAAGCATTGCGAGCTCACTGGAAGCATTGCAAGCTCACTGGAAGCATTGCGAGCTCACTGGAAGCATTGCGAGCTCACTGGAAGCATTGCGAGCTCACTGGAAGCATTGCGAGCTCACTGGAAGCATTGCGAGCTCACTGGAAGCATTGCAAGCTCACTGGAAGCATTGCGAGCTCACTGGAAGCGTTGCGAGCTCACTGGAAGCATTGCGAGCTCACTGGAAGCATTGCGAGCTCACTGGAAGCATTGCGAGCTCACTGGAAGCATTGCGAGCTCACTGGAAGCATTGCAAGCTCACTGGAAGCATTGCGAGCTCACTGGAAGCGTTGCGAGCTCACTGGAAGCGTTGCGAGCTCACTGGAAGCATTGCGAGCTCACTGGAAGCATTGCGAGCTCACTGGAAGCATTGCAAGCTCACTGGAAGCATTGCGAGCTCACTGGAAGCGTTGCGAGCTCACTGGAAGCATTGCGAGCTCACTGGAAGCATTGCGAGCTCACTGGAAGCATTGCGAGCTCACTGGAAGCATTGCGAGCTCACTGGAAGCATTGCGAGCTCACTGGAAGCATTGCGAGCTCACTGGAAGCATTGCAAGCTCACTGGAAGCATTGCGAGCTCACTGGAAGCGTTGCGAGCTCACTGGAAGCGTTGCGAGCTCACTGGAAGCATTGCGAGCTCACTGGAAGCATTGCGAGCTCACTGGAAGCATTGCAAGCTCACTGGAAGCATTGCGAGCTCACTGGAAGCGTTGCAAGCTCACTGGAAGCATTGCGAGCTCACTGGAAGCATTGCGAGCTCACTGGAAGCATTGCGAGCTCACTGGAAGCATTGCGAGCTCACTGGAAGCATTGCGAGCTCACTGGAAGCATTGCGAGCTCACTGGAAGCATTGCGAGCTCACTGGAAGCATTGCGAGCTCACTGGAAGCATTGCGAGCTCACTGGAAGCATTGCGAGCTCACTGGAAGCATTGCAAGCTCACTGGAAGCATTGCGAGCTCACTGGAAGCATTGCGAGCTCACTGGAAGCATTGCGAGCTCACTGGAAGGGTGCTCACCGGATGGGGAAGAGGATGGCATAGCGGAAGAGCACACCGAAGCACCAGAGGGGGAAGAGGTAGAGGTTCCAGTTCCATGGCTCAGGCTCGTTTGACTTGAAACAGCGCCAAAAGGAATCCTGTGGGACCGGTAGGAAGAAGACAGAGGAAAAGGAGGGAGGGAAAAGGGAGGGGAGCGAGGAAAGGGAGGAAGACGTAGAGGTTCTAGTTCCATGGCTCAGGCTCGTCTGACTTGAAGCAGCGCCAAAAGGAGTCCTGCGCAATTGGAGGGGGAAGAAAGAGTGGGAGAGGGGGTGGGTGGGAGGAGAGGGGAGTGAGGGGAGGAAGGGAGGGGAGGGGAGTGAGGGGAGGAAGGGAGGGGAGGGTGGAAAGAGGTAGAGGTTCGAGTATGGCACTCGACTTGCTGCCTGCAACAGCAGAGCAAACAGACGGCTTGCGCGAGTGCGGGTGTGCAGTGAGTGCGTCGAAGTAGAGATTCAAACAGACGGCTTGCGCGAGTGCGGGTGTGCAGTGAGTGCGCGGAAGTAGAGATTCAACCAAACGGCTTGTTGCCGATTTTTTACATCCGCATGGCACTCGACTTGCTGCCTGCAATAGCAGAATAACCTGGTACTGTTTCTCTCTCGCACTCACATCGACTATGGCCCCTGCTGCTTCGTTCAGAGGTGCTGAGATGTCCAGAATCTCGTTCCTGAAGACAAGCACAGGCGGACCAGAAGGGTAATAAGAGCAACAGGCACAACACGTGTGTATTTTGAGAGAAAAGCTTTGTGGCTCACGACTTAGTTTGCTGCAGCGGTGGCAGGAGGGGCAGTGCGAGGCGGTGGTTTCCACCAGGTCTGGCGTGGTGTGGAGTGGTGTGGCGTGGTTCTAACTTCTAAGTCGGCTCAAAACACACGCAGGGAGCGAGAGAAGGGGAGGGGCATCGCAGCAGCTTGCTGCGGCGGTTGACGGAGGGTCAGAGCGAGGCAGTGGTTTCCACCAGGCGTGGTGTGGTGTGGTGTGGTGTGGTCTGCTTTGAAGGCTGGCTCAAAGCAGAAGCGAACGAGAAGGGGGGAAGCGTCACTCACAGCAGCAGTTTGCTGGAGCGGTGCGCGGAGGGGCAGGGCGAGGCGGTGGTTTCCACCAGCAGGTCCTCCACGTCACGTTGGTACCTCGGGAGCTCCGCCGCTGTTGGGCCGAACAGAGGGCTCTCGCTGCCCTTCCTGGTGTTGGGGGAAGGGTGAGGGGAAGAGAATAGGAATTCTTTGTACTGGTGGTGGTTTCCAGCAGGTCCTCCGCGTCGCGCTGATACCTCGGGAGCTCCGCCGCTGTTGGGCCGAACAGAGGACTCTCACTGCCCTTCCTGATGGGGGAAGGGGTGGATCAAAAGGGTGGGGGACGAGGACGAAAGGAGTTGCTCGGGTGATGGGAGGTGGTTTCCACCAGCAGGTCCTCCGCGTCGCGCTGATACCGAGGGAGCTCCGCTGCTGTTGGGCCGAACAGAGGGCTCTCGCTGCCCTTTCTGGTGTGAGGAAGGGTGGGGGAAGGGGGTGGAGCCTGGAGGTGAGAGGGAGAGAGGAACCAACAGTCGCTTGCCAACAGTTGTTCGCAATCAGTTGCAATCGTCAGGCACAAGAAGCAATATACGTAAGTAATAAATCGCGTACCATCTTTGCTGCGTAGCGTCTCGATAAAGGGCCATCTGATATCTAAAATAGCAGTGCTTTAAGGATCTAGGATTCCGGTCGACGAGCGATGCCTGTTGCAATTCAGTTTCCGACTTCGAGTCGAAGAAAAGAAGCTTCTAAGTGACAGCAAAAGTTGGAACAGAGATTAAGGCTAGAAATCCCAGGCAGTGCCTGCCTAATCGGTGACCAATACTGGCACGGATTACACACGGCTTAGCCAATCAGACGGCGGTTTGAGTACCAGGAGAGGAGATCGTCCTAGTAGGCTTGAGTGTCAAGCCGTCGAGAAAAATCCGCTTGCTAAAGACCAGGAGCCCTAACGAATTGGGATGCTCAACAGCCTCAAAGCATGATCTGTTTGGCTTCACAGGAAAGAAACGACTCCCGACCTAAAACATCAACTAATCGTTGCTGGACGTCGATATTCAGGGGGACGATATAGATTCTAGAATCTAGACTCCTCGCCCTCTCGAGGAACCGTCGAATTGGCGAAATCGAGGGAATACCAGCCAATCAGCCTACCCTCGTGAAAGTGACTTGCGACGAGCAACTCAATGTATCAGCCAGTATTCAACTAATTGAAATGTTGGTCGGGGTGTGAAAAGGTTCCTTCTCCAACCCTTGAAAAAAGAATTGCAGAAAGCACTTTGTTGCGCAATATTGTGTGTGTTGATGAAAAATACACTGCCATCTCGTACATAAGTGCATTACTTAGGAAATCACTCCACCCTCCTTGTGCAGTCTGGTTCACAAATTCTACCCTAGGCCAAAAAGCTCAACACGTGATGAACGCATCTGACGGTACCTAGGAATAACTATAGCAGCTTAGTATTCTGTCCCGATCTCCAACTCCCACATTATCTTCTCCCCGCCTCTCCCCCACCCGCCACCTCGCTCCCACCTTGCGCTTCATTTTCAGTGTTTCGTTCCATTTCTGACCGACACTGCCATACCTCTACACAAGTGACGAAATGAGGGCTCACAGGGAAGCGATCTCGGCGGCATCGCGTGTCGCGTCCTCTCTGGTTCGTAGCCACGTCAGCATCCGCTAGCTCACACCTTCGCACCGTCGCACCGATTGGACTTCTCCTCCCTCCCGCAACTCCCGCTAGTACTCCCCCGCCCCCCGTTCCTCCCGCGTCTCCCTCAACCCTCGCAGGCGCGGTTCGCGGTTCAGCCCTCCCCCGATGCTGTCGCTGCCACCGCCGCATGTGTGCGGCAATCCGCGCAAAGCGCCGCCTCCCCCGCCTCCGCGTCCGCCTTCCGCCTCTCGTTTGCGCGCGGTGTGCGCACTCGCCCGAAATTGCGCGTCGTACTGACAACGGTAAGTTCTGCTCAGAGCGGTAAGATTGAAACACGTTGAGTTCTCAACGTCTTCCCAGGGCGGTGAGATGGAGAATCGTTGAGTCCTCAAAGCCTTCACAGGGCGGTAAGATCGGCACAAGGTTGGCCTCCCCGTGTTTCCCCACCACCGTTCATCCCCCTTCCTCTGTTCCCCCTTCGCGTTTTCCCCCCTGCACATCAGGGGGTGGAAGGACTGGGATATGCGGGGGACGTGGTGAACGTGCCAGCTGGCTTCACGCGCAGCAAGCTCATCCAACGGAAGGCCGTCCTCCCACCATCCCCCAAACCCAGTAACCCCCCTCCACCATTCCCCTGCCGCGTACCTTTCTCAGGAGGTGGAAGGGCTCGGATACGCGGGCGATCAAGTGAACGTGCCAGCCCGCTTCGCCCGCAACAAGCTGATTCCCCACAAGGCCACTCTCCCCCTTTCCCCTATCCGCCCTCCGCGCATCATCAGGAGGTGGAAGGGCTCGGATACGCGGGCGATCAAGTGAACGTGCCAGCCCGCTTCGCCCGCAACAAGCTGATTCCCCTCAAGGCCACTCTCCCCCTTTCCCCTATCCGCCCTCCGCGCATCATCAGGAGGTGGAAGGGCTCGGATACGCGGGCGATCAAGTGAACGTGCCAGCTGGCTTCGCCCGCAACAAGCTCATCCCCCAGAAGGCCGCCCTGCCCGCCATCCCCAAGTTCCTGCGCCAGGTGCGCCTGGCCATGGAGGCGCAGGGGGGGGCGGGGGGACAGGCGCAGGGGGGGGCGCGGGGGGAGGCGCAGGTGGAGGCGCGAGGGGAGGCGCGGGGGGAGGCGGGGGTGAAAGCGGAGGGGGATGGGGGGAGAGGGGGCGAGGAGGGGAGTGAGGTGGTTACGATGGAAGAGAGGGTGAAGCAGGCGGAGGAGATTGCAAGACGACTCGACAGCCAACAACTGGTCAGTTAACCCTCCCCCACTCCGCTCCTGTCCGCTCTCTTCTTTCTCTCCTCTCCTTCTCTCGTCTCTCCTCACTTCCCACTGTCTCCTTTGTCTCCTCTCTCTTCCCTCTGATGGTCAGCAGTGAACGTTTTTCATAACCATCTTCGTATCAGCCAACTTATCTCTCTGTTTGCTTTCACCCTTGGGTTGCAGCTCTCATTCCCTTGCCCGTCATTCTCTCATCTAGGATCCTCTCACCTTCCATTCTCCCGCCTCCCTTTCTGTCCCCTCACACTGTCTTTCCTCTCGCTCTCTCCCCTCTCACTCCCTTCCCTCTCACTCGCTTCCCCAACCTCCCCTCGCAGTCGATCCGAGCCGTCACACCCAAGAGATCCTCCGAGCTGCGGCAACCAATCACGCAGCGCCACATCATCAGCGAGGTTCGGCGACAGTTCGGCATCCAGCTATCCGAGGCAAACGTACCTCTGTCCGCACCTCTCTCCTCCATCGGGGATTTTGAAGTGCCGCTGAGGTTCCCGCGCTCTGTTCCGCTGCCGGGGGAGAGAGAGCAGGTTCAGCTGGATGTGCGTGTCAGGAGGCGTTGATTGATTGCCTGTGAATGTTAGGAGATGCTGACTGAGAGATGGCGGATGTGCCTCCGTCCGCTCCGCACCTCTCTCGTCCATCGGGGATTTCGAAGTGCCGCTGAGGTTCCCGCGCTCTGTTCCACTGCCGGGGGAGAGAGAGCACGTTCAGCTGGATGTGCGTGTGAGGAGATGTTGATTGGTTGATGGCGGGTGTCAGGAGATGGGGTGACTGACCGCGTGGATGTACGGACAAGGGCAACTGAATCGAAAGCAGGTTCAGCTGCACGTGCGTGTGAGGAGAGGTTTACTGGTTGACAGCAAGCGTCAGGAGAAGGGGATAAGGGGGTTCCCTCGCTCTGTTCCGCTGCCGGGGGGGAGAGAGCAGGTTCAGCTGGACTGGTTGATGGAAGATGTCAGGATAGGGGAGCAACTGTTTTGATGTGTTTCTCATGTGGTTTCAGTATGGTCCTCACAGTGGGCCTAAAGGAATGAGAGATCGATGATATATTAAACAAATGTAACATCACCTACAGCAATTTCTGACATGGTACCGTACTAAGCTAGCTGCCTAGATTGGCACCAAGATTGTACTGCCTGCCTTGAGTGGCAGTCAAACCAGATTCAAGCAGCACAAGTATTGAGATGAGGGAAGGCCTTGACAGTAACACTGCGGTATCAGTCAGAGAGATGATGGCCTCACACAGAGTGTCATGTACCATGTCGTTTCCGCCATCTCCAGTTGACTAGGGTACTCAAAATCTTCTGAAAGCGTCGAATCCTAGATACTTCTCTGCTTGTTTAACACTTGAATCCCCGTTTACTCCACCCCTCCATCCACGTGGAAGCCTTCTAGTGGTCGCCAGTCCAGCAATTTCAGCACCTGAATCTCCATCCCCACCAGCGAATCCGCCGTGATTCTCGCTACAGCCGCGAGTTGGCTTGCTCGCGGCACCGCGTCTTGGCTCTCCTGCCCCTTAATCGCCACCCACAGACACGTGGCAAGCACCACCCGGAGCGCGTCCGCTGCCACGTCAGTCGGCCGAAGCTTCCGCAAGATTCGCTGGAGCATGTGGAAGGCCAACGCTTCCGCGCTGCGAGAAGCGAGATGGAGCCGCGTGCACCATGAATGAAGCACCCGTTTCAGTCGAGCTGCAGCAGTTTGGCCGAGAGCGGGGCCGTCTGACGTGGGCGCTGGTTGCAGCTGAAGTAACTGCGACGTCTGCTGCTGCTGCTGCAATTCATGCAGCGACCTTTTACGGTCGACTCGCAGATATGTTGCGTTAGTATCAGCCCCTGCTGTAGCTGCCCCGTGTACGTTCACATTCGCGGCTTCAGCGGCTTCGCCGCGCGTAACCCAACACTCGGATTTGTTATCCGTCCGTCTACGTTTAAGTGACGGTTCTTGGGCCGCGTCAGCCGCACGTGGCGCCTCTGACGTTCCGTTTCCTCGAAGCCCCGCGACTTCTGGGATCTGTGGAAAGAGCTGCAGAACCGTTGCACCTTCCTGTTTCAACGGCTCAGATTGAGTTTCCGGCTGATGCTGTGGATGCGGACGGCTCTGATGCTGCTGACTGGCGATATGGTTCACGGGCTGATGGAAAATGGTTGACTGCTGCAGCTGCGAAAGTTGCTCGCGAAACACCGACTGCATGTCGTGACTGTTACCACTGGCAACACCCAGAGGTTCGCACCACTCCGTGGTCACTCCACTCGCGGGGGACGCGCCGTCAGGCCCGCCGCTGTCCCCGCTGCAGTGTGATCCGATACGATGCATCCCGAGACCAAGATGGCTATTATATTCGAGAGAATCCCGAGCGACTACACTCCATCCTCGACCACCGTCGACCAGCTCGGCAGGACAGAATCCAGCATGGCAAACGTCGAGGAAACGCGCACCTGCCACGTGGCTAAGCGACACGTCAGCTGCTGCAGATCCCACCGTCACGTGGGTTGGGAGACCAGCAACGGCAAACCCCGAGGAACGACAGCCATGGCATAAAACTAAGGGGAGCGTGAGAGCGGTAGGAAATCCGAGGAACTGCACATGCGTGGGTTGGTTGCAGGAGCAGCAGAGAAGCGCGCGCGGGTGTTTCATGACGAGAGCGTTCGCCACGTGGACTGCTTGATCGCACGCGACGCACAGGTTTGCGCCGTCCGCGGCGCAATGCACGGCGGCGGGGGAGGGGCAGAGGGCGCAAGGGGTTGAAGTGAAGAGGAGCGGTAGCGGCGGCATCGAGTGCGACTGGGGAGGGTAATCTGAGAGAACCTGAGCTGTGAACCACTGCGCACTATGTACATCCATGGCTTAGCTTGCTGTCAGCTGTTTAGAGTCGCGTGGTTGATTCACAAACTAGTAAGTGAGAGCGAAACGGGTCGAGAGGAAGACCACAAGGGTTAGTACTCTCGATAAAGACTTCGTGGAAATGTAAGGTAGGTGACGATAGAAGGCGTCTACGTCGACGAGGCGTGAAGGTCCTTGTGAAACAATAAGGTAGGTAATCTACTAAACTGAATCTGCTTAGGAAAGACGACTCGTCCGAGAATTGACTTGTGGTGGCAAGTGTCATGCATCGACGACCACAGAGCAACAACCTGTATGGAGAAACTGTTCATTACGGTTCGTGGATTCGAAGTTCTAAGCGCACTACTAGAAGCATTACCTGCTGTCAATATCTACCACGACTTCCTTGATGGGCAGGCATTCTGCGGCTCGATTGATTTCTTGGCTGCTCCACCGTTTGGAGCCTCTGTCGCGTCATGAAAAAAACGTGGTGTAAAATGATCCGTCAACGCGAATTACTGCGAGAAAGTGGTTTCTGTTCGAAGATGGGGCAAGAAATGTCTCTGGTTTAGAAATTAGAAATTATAACCCCAAGATACGTGCAAACGCTGCTCGGCTCGAGGGTCGCGCCGCAGGAATGTTCTTTCCCGCTTGTGGTTTCTGTTGCTCCTTGAACAAGCTGATTGCGTCCTGCTCGATCAGGCGCGCACCAAGTGAAGCCCGACACGTGTAATGCAATCATCAGGCAAGTGATCGTGGTCGGGCAACCGGTGGGCGGAGCAGGAAGAACAAATGGCGGCAAATGGATGCGGGATACGAGTTGACGGGTGGTTGGCAGCTTCAGGAAGGCTGACCGAGAAACCTGGGAGCCGCGTCCGACGAGAGATGTTCTCGTCAGAATCAAGCGTGTGGTATGGATAGTGTGTGTGGTTTGGATAGTGTGTGTGGTTGGTTCTGCTCCGAACTCTTTGTTTGCGGAGAACACGTCATCCAAGTGTAAATGTACACGTGTAAGACTTGCAAATGGAAGCACTGCTATCCATCCTGTGGTTACCCATTATCCAAGCCCAGCGATGTCGCTACAATCGACGACATACAGCAAGTTTGAACAAGCCGTAGATCAGGTGTTGTTGTGATTTTCCCTGACCCCCCTGACCCAGGATGCCCGCCACCATTCATTCGTCCAGCGTATATTTCTTTTTTGGCCCCATCTTGTTTGGATTTCCCTCAGCCGCATCTTGCGCGCCTCGGCTGCTTTGAGAAGAATCAGTTCACGCGGCGCCATTCCTAACCTGACCCGACCACCCTGCTTTCAGTCGCTTCGACCGTGCCGTGAATCGTGGAACGAATGCAACGCTGGCTTTCACTTGCTTGGGAGTATGCCGACACCTCATCAGTGGCCCCCGAACGGTGGCAGGTGACGTGGCTGGGGAAATTGAGGTGACGTCACCTCTGCTTGTGGTTGAGATGACGAAACCTGATATGTGCAACTTGTCGCTAAAGCAAGCTGCGGTTAAAAATTTGGCGCAGGAGGCGTTCATCCTTGTATAACAAACCATAAACTTCATATCGCTATATTAAGAAGCTAATTATTCCCTGCCCCACAAGCTTCATTGGCCAAAATTCCGTGTCATATTACATATCCGGCGAGTTGATTGTATGTATATATACATACATACTCATCCTGCCCATTTCTTCCTCTTCTCCAAAGATAGCACTTTTGAGTCCAAATGAACAAGCGGCTTAATTGGTTAGAAGGCTGTTTGAGTGAGATAACCTGATAGTCCTGAACGGCACTGTCCAGCTGCACTGCTCTCGGCCATGCAATATGTTTTGGAGTGTCATCGCACGATGCTTGCCCAAATCATGTACTCGGCACATGTACTCATCACATTTATTCTTCATATACGAATAACAACACAGTCTTGCATGCATGGAAATCCCCTGTTAGGGAACTGTTGGCCCCGGCGCACATGATTTACAAAATAAACCTACTGTAGGCTTCTAGTTTAGATATGGTACGTATTGCATTTCCACACTAAACATCTTCCATGATCTTCTTCATTTGCTCTAGAGTCACAAATAGGATGAGCGAGAAGGGGCCTTGCCTGACAATGGTTGGAATAAGGCCCTGAAAGAGATAGCACATTCAAGCAGTTCAGAGGGCGAAGGGGGCACAAGCAGCAGGGAATGAGGGCAGATTACAACTTTAAAGCCCCAGCAATCTCAAAAGGCACCCGCCCTGAATCACATGCTATCAGGAATGGCACCATCATCCATCCCTGGAAGGGCATCTCAGCAATGACATGGTATCAGCAGCGCAGCTTGCACCGAAAACCAAACATAAACACTGCGCGTGGCCCTTCCACCTAGATGGTTTGCATCGCGCGATCCAAGGGGCCCGAGTGCAGTACCGCCTCGCTGTCTTCCGGCTTGCAGCACTGTACTCATGCCTTCAATTCCCGCTATTGCACCACCATCAACAGCGCACCCTATGTAATGCGTGTGGCCCTTTTATTTATTAGTCTTCATGGCGCAATCCACGGGGCTCGAGTGCCGGCCCGCCTCCCTCTGGCTTGCGCATGTTCACGAGGCGAGTCCTCACCACGTCAAAGGGGCTCTTGAGGCGAGCTTTTGCACCACCCACACACCTTGCATCAGGAACCCACCTTATACAATGCGAGCGGCCCTTCCAGCTTGATTGTCTTCATGGCGCAATCCAGATGGCTCGAGTAGG